CCAGGTACTCATCTGAGTACCTCACTGAGAAAGTTGTGTGCACCCCTGGCTATAAAGGAACTACTGCACGGTCACATGACTTCACGTCACCACCGCTAAGCTAAAGGAGGCTAATGTTGGGCTATAAAGGAACTACAGCACGGTCACATGACTTCACGTCACCACCGCTAAGCTAAAGGAGGCTAATGTTGGGCTATAAAGGAACTACAGCACGGTCACATGACTTCACGTCACCACCGCTAAGCTAAAGGCGGCTAACGTTGGGCTATAAAGGAACTACAGCACGGTCACATGACTTCACGTCACCACCGCTAAGCTAAAGGAGGCTAATGTTGGGCTATAAAGGAACTACAGCACGGTCACATGACTTCACGTCACCACCGCTAAGCTAAAGGTGGCTAACGTTGGGCTTGATGACGTTTAGTAGTGGACCATAGTTGAATAAAATCTAAAATAATAACAAATGCAGTTCATGGTCCTACCTCACGACGTGCCAGTGGTAGCTGACGATCCCGCGGTCGTCGGTGCTGCCGCTGCCGTTGAGCAACAAGCTGCTCACAGGGAGGACCAGCTTCCTGTCAGGACCCACGACGGCCAGCGGGCCACGGTTTGACCCACCGACCTCTGACCCTGAACAAAGGGAGGGGGAGGAAAGCTCTAAATAATAATGATAATTATCATAATAGTATTGAAATACATAAATAATAATTGTGTAAAAAATTAATATAAACAAACCAAATTCTAAAAGCAAAAATAACAATGAAAATAATAAAATTATTATTATTAAAAAGATATATTAAATAAATAAAAGTATTATAAATAATAACATTAATAATAACAAGCTTCTGCATGGACAGCACATTGAAGTGTTTCCCTGCTGTATATATAAATGTACCAGACTCAGTGGTTGCAGTGGTTGTAGCACTGGGGGTGGTCACTGTTGGAGGGATGGTGCCGGGGGTCAAGCTGGTGCCGGGGGTCGATGTGGTGCTGGGAGTCAGGGGTCACGGGTCTTTTCGTGGATGTGATGGTGGTGGGTGGAGGTCTGGCTGACTGCAGCACCTTCAGCATGTCTGTGGAGCATCAAGAAAACACAACTAATATCATCCTTACATTTTATTTATTTAATTCTGAATCAGAACAGTTCTGGTGGTTCAATGTTTGTTGTTTGTTGTTCATGTATTGTGTTTTGATATCTGTCTGTTGATGTTACACATGGAGCTGCTGTGATGCAAGGAGCATTTCAGACTTAATCGTATCGTTCATGTGTTAATTTTTTTTAAAGAACTCTTGGTGAGAGCCAAAATAATAACAAACAAAATATCATAAACGCACAGACAGTGGTAAAACAGAGCATCCCTGTAGGTATACCTGGCTGTGTGCTGACCGGCCAATGAGGCGCGGCGGTGGTGGTGGAAGTCCTTATATGGTCGTGCTGAGTGGAGACAGCTGTGGGTTCCTGCAGCAGTAACAGCGGCAGGGACGTTGAACCAGAGCTGCTTTGTGTTTCAGTCTGTAAAAAAAGAAGGATATAAGCAGCCTGACCATTCGAGGTATTTCTCTGCAACCCTTTTTTCACGCTAGCTGTTTCCCTTTGCTAGCAGTCTTTATACTAAGCTCTCGTCCACCTGAACGTGTCACTAGGGATACACAGATTTTAGTATTAACCTTGTTGTGTTGCATACGTTTTGTGTCACCTAAATGTTGTGTTGGTTATTTTTCAGTCGGACTCAAACAACAGTAGTTTTATAGTAGCTTTGTACATCACCCGCCTTTAGCTTAGCTCTTCATTGGCTGTGTGAAGGGACATTATTAACCTGATAACCCACTCACAGCTTTCTCTGCAGCAGGAGGGTCAGTCGGTGTCCTGGTTCTGTGCTCGTCTCCCTGGCTGATGTTCCCCTCAGAGGAGGCTTTAATCTGGTCCACACTGCTTCCCGTCGGCCCCCCCTCTGGAGCATCTCCGGACTCTGATTGGTTGAACCTGGCTCCCCTCTCCTCCTGGCTCTCCTCTGGATACTCCAGGTCAGGGAACAGGGCGAGGTCCTTCAGGGCCTCCAGGTCCCCACCATACGGCTCTCCTCTCACCAGAGACTGCAGCACCTGTTGGAGGTCAGAGGTCCAGGTCAGGACAGGATATGAACCAACATTTAATCTTCAGTTGAGGAGCATGAAGAGTTTCAGGCAATGAGTTTTACTTTTTAAATAAAGGGTGAAAAACCAGACGCACGCACGCTCTTTAAATTGTTAAAGATTTCTTTATTTTCTGATTTTAATCAGAAATAATAAAAATCATTTCGAATTTAAAGGAAAAAACTGAATTCAGAAAAAAGAAAAATAATGTAATTTTGTAGAAAATAAAACTTTTTTTTTTTAACATTTTCCGTGTTCCGACCAGAACTCTATAGAAACCTGCCGCTACGCACCAGGCTCTGCGGGGTCTCTCTCCGCAGGAAGGCGAGGCGTGACTCTGCGCCCGGTCTCTCTCGGGGGGCGCAGGCCTCGGCCCGCGGGCAGCGCAGGACGTAGCATCGCCCCTCGAACAGCCACGCCAGCTCGTAGCCCGTTAGCTTGCAGCACGCGGCCACGCACTGAGGTAGCGACGCCACGCCGGGGACACGCAGGATCCCGCTGCCCTCCGACGCCGGAGACACCACGGCCTCCGAGAAGGTCGCCCCCTGCCAGCAGCCAGACGCCACTGCAGCTGCAACGCAACGTTACTTTGTGAGAGTCAGCATTCCTTTATTAGTCCCACAACCAGAGGGTGGGAAGTACCTCAGTACATTTACTCAGGTCATGTACTTTAGAGGTACTTGCACTTTACTTGAGTATTTCCATTTGATGCTACTCTCTCCTCTACAGTTCAGAGGTACATGGTGTACTTGTACTCCACTCCATGTATTTAATACCTTTAGTTACTTCACAGATCTGGATGAATGATGTGAAATCTAATCAAGTGTTAAATCAGACTTTAGTTCCACCTGGAGTAAATCCACAAGCTACCCTGCAGTATACAAAGTCATTCAAACTAGCTGCACCTTTACCAGCTTTGAGAACACTTTCATGATCAATCATTATAAAACATATCATATCTATTATTCTGAAATGGACCAATCTGCACAACGACTACTTTTACTGTCACTACTTTCACTAGATTTTGATGAGAATACTTTTCTACTTTCACTTAGTTTTTTACTAAATGTATTGTCATTAGTGATGATGATGATGATGATGAGGATGATGATGATGAGGATGATGATGATGATGATGATGGTGATGTACCTTCCACACAGTGAAGCAGCAGCAGAAACGCTCTTTCCCACATGGTCAGCCTGAAACAGAAAACATCGTAAAAAGGCTATTTTTATTTGTTTGGTTAATGTCATTAGTTTTTTTCTTCAAACCAGTGACTTTCAACGGCTGTGCCGAGACAAACCAGTGTGCCGTGGGAAGTTCTCCAATGTCACGTAAAAAAATAATATTTATTATAAATATTATAATTATTATTAGATCTATTATTATAGCGCATAAAATAAACTACCATGACTGGTGTTTGGTGCTCAGTTTGTGTCATAGTGACCAGTTTAGTTTAGTTAGCTATAACAGCGGCCCAACATACAGAACATTAAAGCGGTTTGGGGGATAAACACATTATGTATGCAGACAAACTTTGTTTTTATTTCATTTCTTAAAAGGTCCCGTGTCATGGCCATTTCTACTGATCATAATTCCATTGTTGAGGTCTACTAGAATACAT